GGTCATGACATTCAGAATTGGTTGGGGGCGTCTTGTAGGCTCAGTCATTAAGACTTGGGTGCTTGGGACTGGAGAGGTCGTTGGTTTTCAAAGGCCCCGATTTCAGGACCAAAAATTGGTGTGAGAGAAGTGGCGGGGAGGAAGTCTTCCTTGAGCAAGGAACGGACGCACCCCAAAAAAGCCCCCCAAAACTTTGCTCCCTGGTAGCTTTTTCCCCCCCATACAAAAACTGTGTGTGTTGTATTTTCAAGTCCTAACCGTTTGGGAGATTGCCTGTGGATGGTATTTTGTACTGGGGGCATTTGGGGCTTTAACCAGAGTTTTAAAAACGGGATTTAATTAAAAAAACGGTTTTTTATTATTATTTATTTTATTATTGGTGGTTATTTTTCTTAATTAACGTTAATTAAAAGGGTCCCTTACCCCCTTTTTCCGACCAAAAAACGGTTTCCAGGGTTCGGGGTGTTCACTAATCCGCCCTGGTTCGCGATTGCGAAACACTTTCTCTGTAGTTTCCAGCAAGCGTTTTGCCAGATTTCGGTGCCCCAAAAAACTGGTTTTCGTTATTTGGGGACCAAAACCAAAACTGGCTGGCTGGAGGTCAGAACTGGCAGAACTAAGACGGGCACTGGGAATTTACACAAAAGGTCATACCCCTATTCTCAAATTGTAAACCCCATTACACGGGGAAAAGCAATTAATCCCCACCACCGGGTTTTGATAAGCATCCAAAACCAACAAGGGAAACAACTACTAATAAAACGCAAACCCGCCCCCTTAGGGGCATTTTGTTTATAATAACCTTTCAGTCAAATTTTATCCGATGTAATGGCTATTTAAAAAAAAAAAAAGGATGTTGGGGGAATTTATGTGATTTCTTTACATTTTGATAAAAGGGATCAAAAGACTGGGAAAATTTCAAAAAGTTGTTCTAAATACCTTTCAGGGTTTCGGGAATGGTGTTAACCGGGCTTATTTTTCGGGAAAGAGATTCAAACGCTTTATAAATATAATTTATAATTGAAAACCGCCCACTTTTTTAGTGTCATAGAGGGCTTTTTCAAACCACAACTGGAGCAATTTTCTTCTCTCCAATTTATGGCATGGGCTGGGCTCTTAAAATTTTTCAATACTGTATAGGATAAACGTCTTCAGTTTTTAAGCGGCCTGAAGAGGTTGGAATCTTTTGTTTTAACCGTTTTCATTAAGTCATTTATCGATTTTAAGGAAGTATTCGTGTTGAACTTAATGGCTCCGAATATGGATCGTATTGCTCATTGCAGGGGGGGAATGTTAAACATAGAGGGACCACAATTTTAAACCGCCAGAGGTCGCTGTATTACCTAAAAACCCCGCCAGACCCGCCCTCAAATTGGTACCCCGCTATTGATTTTCCCAAGGGTACATTGCCTCCTTTCATTACTCATAGCAAGGGAACAGGTTGAGGTTAGTTTTGATTAGAATAAAAGAAGGCTTGTACCTTGAAATCGAGGCAAGAAGGGGCATTGGTATTTCCAATAACTGTTTGGCTGCGACTTTTCAATATTTAAACCCCAATTTTTTAACAAAACAGTGTAAAACTAAACAGGCAACCTGAAGAAGGCGGAGGTGGGTTACATAACACCTCTAAAGGCTTTCAATTGAACAATGGAGTTCGACAGCACACGGGGACTGGGAGATTGGGAATATTTTTATTGAACAAAAAACAGGCTTGCCGGGGGTATTAAAAATGTACCCGTTTTGGCGGTTCTTTAGTGGTTTTTTCAAAGTTTGTTCGTGGGGTTTTTCCTAAAAGAATGGTGTGTGTCTGCTTTGGACACAGATTAAAAGGCCATCACTATTTTGTTCCCCAAAGGGGATGGGCACATTCTGAGCACTGGGAGTTGTCACTTTTATCGTTTCCACCCGGCGGCCTGCTTGTGATCCGAGATTAAAGCGCACCTTGCACAGTTTTAAGTTTTATTTAACCCCCTTAAGCCGGGGGCTAAGCAAGCGCGTCGCGGAAAAGGAGGTATTTATGCGAGCCCCCGAGCAGCCCAAGAAAATGTTGGTGTGAATTTTACCCAATGCTGACGTGGTAAAACCTCACACATTTGTTTTTTCTTCTCGGTGCTGACTCCCATCAACCAGGCCCATGATTTCAAACCCTGCCCCCAGCTCTCCACCCAAGGGGTATAAGAGTAAATATTGTTCCTCAATTCCTCACAGGTCTAGTCTCTGGCTAGAATAGATATGCAGTTTTTCATCGTAACTCTATTCATGAGAAGTTTCCTTTGGTGTTAAAACCAATGATCGTACATTCATGTCAGTGGCCCCTCTCCCATCTGTTATGCTTTTTGGGCGATATCTATTGTTTGTTGTCTCATCATTTCTCGCCGACTGATGAGAAATGGCAAAGTCGTCAGAATGGACAACACGCTGTGGCCGGAGGAGTGGTTCTGTCAGAACTGTGTGTGTAGGGCTAAGGGGGGATGCTTGTTTGTGGAGCAATATATGCCCTGTGTGGTTACATAAAGTACATGTAGGAGTTCTGATTAGGAGGGTTGCCGTCAGTTCCGTTGTTTTGTTGTTACTTTAAAACGGAGAGGCCGGTATTTGGTTATTAATTCCCAGCGGCGGAAAACAAAATAAATGTTGGAATAGTTATTTTAGTGTTTTGAAAGTAAACTGAGGTATGGCAAGGAAGTTTACTACAGCTGAGGCTTTGGAGCTGATTTTTCATGGGGATAATGTTGATGAAAATTCAGATGAATCTTCTCAGC